GGCGTGGCCCCAGCCGTGTCGTCCCCTGCTGGGGTAGCACGTGGCATCCACGGGGACCCGGCTGGGAGAGCTGGTCCCTCCCCATTGCCGTTGGCATGGGAGAAGCCATCGATTCGATTCAGCTGGCTGTGGTCCTGCGCGGTGGGGTGGCGCAGGGGGGTTGCCCGCAGCTCCTTCCAGCTTAAACGGGAGCTGATGCTGAGGAAAAGGGGTACGGAGCATCCCTGGGGCTGGCTGGCAGCGGGGCGCCCAGGGAGCCCATCCTGCAGCGGGGCTGGGGCTGTGGGAGAGAAGGGAGATGCTGAGTTGAAGATGTTTGAAAGCAGCAGAGAAAATACCGGGCTCAGGGGGATGCGGCTTGAAGCACCCAGCGGGATGCTTCCCGAAATGCGGAGGGCATGGAGAAAGCCAGGCAGGGGCTCTGTGCCCTGGGCGGGGGGTCCCTGGCACCCTTTGCTGTGGTGGTGCCTCCTTGGGTCCCCCCCAAACTGCTGCATGGCAGGTTGGAGGGGGGGGAGGTTTGGGGGGATGATTGGAGCTGCTCATATGTTCTATGCCTGCAAAAAGGCCCAGGGCGATGCTGGCTGGGGGGGCACAGGGGCTGTGCTGGTGGGTGCTGGGTGCCTGCAAGGTTTGGGGTCTCCAGGGCTGCAGCACCCATGGGGGACTGTCCCCCTTGTGGGGGTGGCAGGGCTGTGGCAGTGTCCTCACCTCCTCTCTCTGCCTGCAGCAAGCTGACACGGGAGAGCGGGACAGATTTCCCCATCCCTGTCATCCCCCCGGTGCCGGATGCGGAGACAGAGAAGCTCATCCGGGAGAAGGACGAGGAGGTGAGTTGGGGGCTGAACCCCCGCCTGGTCATCCCCCCATACCCTGTCCCCAGATCCAGCGCTGGCACAGCCGCGAGGGGCCACCCTTCCTGCACCATCCCAGAGGCTGCTGCTCCTCAGGGCAGGGTGAGGAGGTAGAGGGGCATCGAAAGGTGTCCCCCCTCCCCAACCCACAGGGCTCGGTGAGATGCTTGACCCAAATATGTTCGTGAGGGGGCAGGTGTGGCTGGGGGGGTGCCACCCCCCCACC